AGCATCTATAGGATCTTGTAAGATTCTATTGTCCATACAGTAGATTTCTATTGGTATATTCATACCTTCTCTAAAGAATCCTTTTACCATTATCTGGACTCCTCCTAATTCAATACATTTCAATTTATTTCTTACTTTCTCTGGAATTTTGGATAATTTTTGTTTTACCCATTCTTTTGTAATTATAGGAATTCTTGCTTTTCCTATAATATCTTCTATGTTGATAGACATTTCTTTATAATTCATACTTACAATTGTTTTATTTACTCTTGGTAGAATTCCTAACAATCCTTGATGGAATACATCATTTTCCTGTAGATCTAGTATTTTCTTAGTAATTCCTGTGTATTTTTAATATCAAAGGTAATCTCTTGATTTATACCTTTTATAGAATCTTCAACTTCTTCAATTGTCTCTATTTCTATCTCTGATTGTTATATCTCCTGTTTCATATATACTATCTCCTCATAATCTTCTTCTGATGAGGATGTATCTAATTCATAAATGATACAGCATTCACTACTTAGATCTTCAAAATATTCAATTGGTTCTATATCACTATCTTCTTGGAATTTTTCATAAATTCTAAGAGTTTTTATATTTTGTCTATCTTTCTTTTTAGGATATTGAAGGGCAATGTGTCCTTCTTCATTACAAATAAAACATCTACATTTTTTCATGTTTCTTGGTTTAAATTTCTTATTCCAATTTCTTTTCTTGAAATATTTTTTATGCGGTTTAAAATTCCTTTTCTTGAAGTTTTTGTAGTTTTTAAATTTTCTTTTATATTTTTTATATAGTTTATATTTCTTCTTATGACATCCAAATTGTTCAATTTGGCCATTATCTTTATAACAACATAATGAATTCTTTCTTATTTTATATGCCTTTTTATTTTCTAAAGCCTCTCTACACCATATGCCTATCATTCTTTTTGTAAATTCAATTCTACTTTCAAGACTATTTATTTCTACTCCTTCCTCTTCTCCTAGAGGTAGTAATTTTTCATATTCTTTTAATAACTTAATTCCCCATGGGAATGGTAACTTAGTAAAATAAGATCTTAATATAGGTTTATTTTTCTGATAATCTCCTTAGTTTAATATATAGTATATTTTTTCGAATTTACATGTGTATCTTTTTAGTTCACACATATCACATATCTTTAAATTTTCCATTGCTATCATTCCTTGATTATATTCATCTTGTTTTCTTTTTTCATTATTAGAAGTATACATATCTCCTAAGAATTCTGTTCTTAAGATTTTTTCAAATCTTTTTAATATCTCCTGAATATTTTGTTCATTTAAAGAATTTCTATTATCTAATATTTCAGTCCTACTTGCTCCATACTTTACCCTTCCTTTAATAGTTTCTGGTAATTTTCTCCACCATTCAGAAGTAATTCCTCTGAATGTATGTTCTATAAATCTAAAAGCTGTATATGTTTCCCATTTATTAAATTGTATTGCTAAATCTGTACTTTTCATCCATGTTTCAATAGTTTTATTTTTATCTATACAATCTAAATCTAACCATATCCCTGTTGTATGGATTAGTTCATTATAAGATTTCATTGGGTTTATTTCTTTTATAGACTGTTTTCTTATATTTTCAGTGTATCTTTTCTGTGGTTTTCTATATTGGTTAATACCATCCTTAAGTGGTATTGTAGTGCCATAAGGATAATCTTGTTTTTCATCACTACTGAATTCTACTTTTATATTCTGACTTGAAGATGGATTAGTATTCATCTTTGTATTTTCCATTTTTTCAGTTAATTCTTTTAACTATTTTTTATATTCTTCATACTCTTCTCCTGTAGATTCTAAGAATTTTTGTTCTAGTTCTTCTACATCTGTAATCATATATTATTTTTCTTCATATTTTTTCCCTTTATTATTTTCTTTTTGTGATATCCTAAAATTTTGAGGTGGATTAATTATAATCATATCTTTTCCTTTAAAACTTTTATCTAAAAGAGTGTTTCCTACTTGTAGATTATGTCCTAGATTTTCTAATCTTTTATGTATATCCCCAAAATTTTCATTTGTGGTGTTTTTAGGTAAATAGGGATAATTATTTTTTTTATGTTTTTCATCTTTTTTCAAAAATTCTTCAATTATATTTTCTTAATCTACTATATTCATCATTATTTTTGGTTCGTAACATGGCTCTGATATCATTTTGTCGGAGTGTGCAGCAGAAAGGTTAAGATTTTTGAGTCAATTAAAATCTTCGTAAGTATTTAAAATATCACAATAGAATTTATAAAATTCACTATTTTCTATTAATACTTTTTTCTTCAATAATTATATTTAATTCTTTGATTCTTCTTCTCAAGTTAAGAATTAGTTTATATATATCATTTTCTGTTTTGATTGTATTATTATCTATAGAAACATTTTTATTTTTTAGTTTTGGATCTAAATATTCTGTAAAGAATCCTTTCAGATCTTCTTCTAAATAATTTATTTCATTTTCTGTTGCGTTTTTTAGGTCAATAAAATTTTGTATAATATTTGGGGTTAATTTTATCAAATATTTTTTTTTCTATATTTCTTTGAGGATCTAATTGAAGGTTTTTATACATTGTAGTGGCTTTGGTTGCAATTTCTCAATGAGGGGTATTTTTGAAAAGATAATTGTTAAAAGGCTATTTTTCAAATGGTTATATTTTTTGGTCTAATCTTGCAAACCTACCTTTTATTTAGGCTATCAAGAGGTATTTCCTCCCGAAAAATCCTTGAGTTCTTGTTTCATTTTTTTGCAATTTTACATCTATGCACTTTAAGTTTCTTAAGATTAATCGAGTGTTTGTTTGTTTGTTTTTGGACATTTCAATGGTATCAGAGCTTGGATATTTGAAATGTGAGAGCATCTTGTGATTCATAGATCTAGATGGACTTTATCACAATCCCATCATCAGTTAGAGAAGCTGTGCGTATGAATAAAATGGGCATTCCCAATACTCGTGGTTTTTCTCCTTCCAGTTTGACTTTAAATCTTGCAATGTTATTTTAGATTACAAGGAGTTTGGTTTATTATGATCTTGATGGTGAAATTTATCTTATGTAACTGCAGTATTCCTTCGCCACAAGTAAGGATTTATTAATAAAAGTTTAAAAAAAATAAAAATAAATAGAGCCTTGGATAATCAACCTTGCTATACATACAAGCTCAATGAAAGGATTTTTTTTCCCCCGGAGAAAGCACATGACAGTTTTTCACTGGAAGTTGCAAATAAAAAAATAAATAAAAATAATAATAATAAATAAATAAAACACACACGCTCACAAAATCAAGGGCTACCAAATTCCATGTAACTACACCCTGGCAGTTTTCCCCGTCCAAGGGGCTTTTTCCTTAGACAATTGCTGACATAAATTTTAGCAATAGAATTTAACTTGAAGAAATTGTATGGAGTAATATTTTCTGAAAATGTCATGAGAACCATTGGTGATACTAAAATAGCTGCAAAATTATGGATAAAACTTCAAGCTTAGTATGTGATTAAAATTGTACCTAATAATGTTATTTACTAAAGTAGTTTTTTTTTTATATATATAAAAGAAAAAGAAAAAAAGGGGATTCTTATGTTGTCTAGAAAGAAAATTTAAATAGATTTATTAAATTGACTTAAGACCTAGCAGACTATGATAAAAAAAAAATTTTGCTGTTTCATATTAATTATGTATGTGCTTCAACACCCCCCCCCCCCCTCCAAAAAAAAATCCATCTTTAACGGAGCCCAAACTGGAGCAGAATTTTGATAAATCTAATTATCACTCTAAAACTTTTAGCAAGAAGAAAGGGGGGCGATAAGACTAAATTTAAGAATAAAGCAATAGGTAAGAAATGTTATTATTTTGGAAAATTGGGACATTTTATAAAAATTTGTTATAAAAGACAGAATGGGTTAAAAGAAAAGAAAAATAAAGAGGGGAATACAATTTAAGCTTACAATAAAAGGGAGATTGAAAATGGAATGGTTTCGGTTATTATGGAAAATAAATTGAATCAAGAATGGACAAGATTTTTTTTTCTGAATTTAAAAAATAAAAATCAAATAGCGTCTCTAAGAATTCTAGATGATACAAAATTTGACGTTAAAATGGGTCAGGGATACCGGATATATATAAACCTTTAGGGGCTGTCATTTGATCGCTTGAACCCAAAGAGACGTGGTCTTTTATTTTTATGTTCCTAAAAGTGGAAATAATAAGAGAGAGATATTTTTAATTGGAGGATGTTGTTGAAGAATTATACAAAAGCAATTGCAGCTGCAACGAAGTTGTTGGGAAAATAGGATATCATGAATAATGCCAAAGTGCCCGAAAATGGGTGACCGACCCTCACATGGAACGTGGAACCCGCGTGAATAAAATAATACCCGGCCCTCGAGGTGTGAGTGTTCGATCATCGCACATGTCAACCATTATGTTTGTGTTGCATGGTCTAGGATTTCATACTACATACTACACACAGGGGTGAATCTAGAACTTGGAGTGAGCACGGGCGGGCGGTTAGTTATCGTTGGTCACAATAAAATATTTCAAATTTAATATAACAATTATTTGTGCTAAAAATGAATATATATTATTTCTATGACAATTATGATTTCAACCCAATAAATGACATATTGGCTAAGAGTTGTATGATTCAAACAAGGGTCTAAGGTTCGAATCCTTTTAATTGCATCTAAACCTCTAAAGTCTAAACTTGAACATATATAATTTTGTTACACTTAGTATTACAAGTCAATAAGTGCAATGATGGTAAAGGCCTCAATCATCTCAAAGTGGGGTTAAGGGTTCGAATCCCTTCTCTTGCATTAGTTTTAGGAAAAAATTGCTGAATCAAGAAAATAGCACCATAAAATGCTTGAAGAAAAATCGAACCCAAGACCTCATATTTGATAATAAAAGCCTCAACCAACAACACCACAAGAGATTTTAAAAAAAAGGTAAATTATTAGATATATAACATAAATCTTTCACCTATCATCAACCAAAAAAAAAAAAAAGAGCTTCCGACGGATCCAGCACGGGTGGCTGTTGGGGCTCGCCAGGTGCTAGATCCGCCCTACACACAAGTAATTAAAAATATTTGTAATATGTAAATGAGTCCAACTAACAAGAAAAACCATATAAAACCTGAAATCTGAATGGAGAGTACCACAAACAAATAAGATGGATCCATTATCTTGGTGTCCTAACTATAACGAAAGAAAATCTATTTACATGAAGTCATCAAAATCTAAACCCTCTGGAATTTCAAACTTTAAAAAGTCACTGCAGTTTTCATCTTCGGTGCTTACTTGAATATGTGTTGATGTGGCTGAATTTAAAGGAGCTGGGCTTGATATAGGCGTCGATAGAACTGAATTAAAACTCAAGTTTTCCAACAAATCTGTCCCAATTTGCTCAGAAGCTGCATGGAAACTCTCTTGCACGCTTTGCATGAGATCTGTTTGATCCACTGAAGAATAGGGAAGAATGGATTGATTCAAAGGACGGATCTGTTTATCAAACGCGTTTCCCAACTGATTAGATTGGAAAGTTGGGGCCTGGTTTTGCAGCAGAGCTTTCAATAATTGGTTTTCTTGAAGTTTTTGTAATAGGAGTTGAGGGGTTTGGTGCTTTGATGTTAGAAGATTTGCAGCAAGTCTTAGAGCTTCTGGATTCAGAAGTGTTTGAAGGTGAAGTAGGTTCGAAAGATTAAGCTGATCAGGGGAGTTGAGAAATGACGAGGATAAGTCCAAAAGATCAAGGCGCGGAGCATGAGTCACGGGATCAATCCCCATACGAAGAAGTCGTTTTCGTAAACGAGTATTCCAGTAATTCTTGATTTCATTATCAGTTCTTCCAGACAACTTAGCTGCAATTGTAGACCACCTAAGACATGAAACAAAAGAAATTCAGGATTTTCGATTCTATTTTCTGATACATGCACAACAGAAATGGACAATAGACAAGATTTTAGTTTCCTAAAACTGTTATTAAAAAAAAAAAATGAGGAAACCTACTTATTGCCAAGAACACTATGTAGTTGGATAATAGTTTCTTCTTCTTCAAATGAAAATCTCCCTCTTTTGATATCAGGTCTTAGATAATTTGTCCAGCGAAGGCGACAACTCTTTCCACATCTTTCAAGCCCTGCACATGATCATCTTTAATTAATATCAACTGATCATTGGACCAAAAAACGTCTATAAATCAAGACAACATACGAATAAGTACCAGCATTTTTTGGAAGAGATCGCCAGTTTCCGGGACCATGCATTTGAATGTAACGAGTGAGCTTCATGTCTTCCTGTGGACTCCATGGACCCTTCTTAAGGCCGTGTTTATCACAACATGGTGATCTTCCCATTGATGATTTTGTAGTGTAGGAAACAAAAAAAAAGAAAAATGGTTTCAAGAAGCGTTAGATACGCGAACTTTTACGTCCAAAATCGTAGATGGAATGCCTTTTATAGATGAGAAGGATATGGATCACGAATAGGTTGAAGTCAATAGGATTTGGCGCCGCCCCCTTAGCATATATCAATGTCTCCATTGTGTGCATCAGTAAAATGTTAAGACTATTACAAGAAGTTCAAAATAAAATAGGTAAAAGCAAAATAAACAATTTTTTTTTTAATGAATTTATATGCATAAGTTACATTATGTTCATAACATATATTATACAATAGATATATTTTTATGACAGTTTTAACCTTTTAAATTGTGGAATAAATTTTTTTTTTTCATGGAGTATTTGGTATTTTAACTAAACTAGCATCGAAGAATTTAGCAATTAAATATTTAAATTTTTTAATAAAAGTGATATTTCAGAAATTTCTGTATTAACTGTGAGGTGAATCGATAAGCTAAGAGATTTTGATTCAATTTTAGCAATAAATGGTAGCTAACTGAGGGTTTTGACCTTTCCAAAAAGTCTTGAAAAGAAGAGGAATTAGGTGGTATAGTTGTACATCCTCAACCAATAAAGTAAATTGTAGTTTTTCGTTGTTTCATAGCTTGCTTCTGATTCCGTTGATTAAAAAAACCAAAACTTTTGGAAAAATTGCATCAGAGGTTCCTAACTTTTATGAAATGTGAACACCAAGGTCCAACAATCAAATCTTGACACCTCGAACAAGTCCTTCTGGATGGATTATATCCGAACAGAGGTTGAATTCACATGCGCATCGCACAAGTCCCTTTTTCAAGGGTAATCCGCCCTCTACTATCTATCTAGATCATTTTTCCTAAATCTTTTATGCCCTTTAACAAGGCACTTGGCACATGTGAATTTAATACCCATTAATCTAGACAGGGTTCCGTCTATATATATGAACTTGGGTTGCAATGGGTTTGAAACATTGAACTTGAGGATGACAGTGTCATGAATTGAATGTCTAACATTCGATTAAGATTAGAAATTTTCTTAACAATTTTATCATATCGGACACTTCATAAGTCGCAATTATAAATATAGATCTGCACATTTGGCTAAACTTAAAATTGAAGTTTACATAAATACATATATGTTTTAAACTATTTTGGTAGAGCCAAGGAAAAGATTATTTACAAATGTTACTAGTACTATTGTACCCATTTATAAAAATTATGCGCATATCTGACTTTTTATTAAATAAATAAATCTAACATGCATACAAGGAACTTGTTAAAGAAAAATAACATAAGTGTACAAGTTTCAATGATAATTTACTTAAAAATAACTTATACTTACACTGCTCACTTTCATTCATAGAAATAAGAAACACGTGGTTTTCTCTACAATAGAAGTCTATTCATTTCAAAGTCGTCGAGTTCTGGTAATTGCTTCATCCACCTTCAGCTAACGAAAATGATTTTCAATTAGTCAAACAGTTAAATATTATCTAAAGTCAAAACCTTTTACCCCCAGCTTGCTTGCTTGCCTGTCTTACATGGTTTGCCTTTCTACGATTACCAACTGTTCTAGAACAACGCTAATTATCGATTTACCTAATTCACGACATCTAAACAAGGTTAGTAGATGATAAAACCATATTTAACATTGAAATTGAGACACACACTCAATACTTATTTAAATTCTGGAAGAAAGTACATTAATTAAAGATAATTACATTTTCGTCATTTGTTCCTTACTAGCACGGCCGGACTTGTGTTTTGTGGGGCCCGAGGCGAAATTCAGATTTCGGGCCCATAAATCATAACAAGCAATTAATTTTTTTCATTTATAAGAGATTTAAGGAAATGAATTTGTTAACATAAAGTCGAAATTTTTTTTTTATTTCGATTATAATCAAATAACGTTCTAAAAGATCACTTAAATACAACTCGTCTTACAATTTTTGAGACAAAAATATCAAGCAATTTTTTATAGTCGAGTTGTTCAATCATTTCTTTTTCAATTGATGACATGGCAAAACCATTCAATATTTGCTGTGACATAGTTGATCAAATATAACACTTGATCAATTTCAACTTGGAGAAACTTCTTTCTCTACTGATGCAACTGTAATCGGGATGGTGCCCAAAATCTTGTAAGCAATGCAAGTATTCGGAAAATAACCATTCATTTTCTTCAAGTAATGTAGCACATCAATTGCTCTTTTTGTTTCAGTAGTTAAACAGCACCTCAAGACAATCAACTCTAAACTCAAATCATCACCTATAATGTTTAAATGTCCATTATGTTTTAAATACTGCTCAAAATTCATACAAGATTTCAACAAATTGTCAACTTGCATACTCTTTAATCTATCCAAGTTATACAAAAATCCAAATATCTCTTCATAATGTGAAAATTGTTCAAAACGAGTTTGAAGTGATGATCGAGCTTGATCAACTATAAAGAAAAAATGCTCAACTCTAAAAGATTCTTCAGTTGAGTATGTTACCTCTTCAGTGCCACTTTCATCGAATTGTTTCTTTCTTCGAATGCTACGTCTTTCTTGAAATAGAGCTTCAATTCCTATTTCACTTGCCATTTGTTTAGCTTCATCCATGGCACTGGCAAACCCAGATTCTCTATAATTTTCGAGAAATAAAATAAGTGCTTGTAAAAGTTTGTTGGGTTCATTAATATCTATGATTTCAACTTGAAAAAATTTACTCACCATATTGATTGCATGCAACAAATTATGCCAAATTACCATGCCAAGCAAGAACTCAAAATTTTCAAGTTCATATATTGCTTAGGACTCAGCTTTACTTTTTACTTTTGGATCTTCAACAATGTTTGCCAAGTCAAGTAAAGCGTTTCTTATTTGTACAGATTGTTCTTTTATAGGCTTGACACTTTCCACATGACTTTCCCAACGTGTCTACGACAATAGCTTAAGTGTCAGACCTTAAACCTTATCTTTAAAAAAATTTCATCATTTGGGAAAAGAAGAGAACAATGTGTAGATTCGCTGTATCACTCCAAAGAAGGACATAGCTTTCGAACAATAATTTGACATATCATATAATGCTAGATTAAGGCTATGATAACCATATGGAGTATAGAAAGCTCTAGGATTTACTTCAAGTAACATTTTTTGTATACGTCTATATCTCCGGCTCATGTTAGCTCCATTGTCATACCGTTGACCTCTTATATTATCAATATCAAGTTCAAGATTCTTTAACACATTTTTAAGCTCAGCGAAAAGTTCAAATCCTGATGCATCATCCACCTTCAAAAATTCAATCCAATATTCTTGTACCATCGACGAGTCTACCAAATCATCCACGCATTGTATTACTAGATACATTTATTCTTCATTACTTGCATCTGGAGTACAATCAAGTATGATCGAAAACTATTTTGCATCTTTTGTGACAATTGCACTCCTCACCTCGCCTGCCAACATATGTATCAATTCATTTTGAATTTTATGACCCAAATATGTATACTGAATCTCACGTGCTTGAGCATGTCGAATGTGTTCTTCCATTATTGGATTGAACTCAGCAACCATTTCTATCATTTGCAAAAAATGTCCGTTGTTCTCAACATAAAGTTGCTTACAATCTCCTCGAAACACCAATGTATTTTTAACAAACCTTTTCACAATAATAGTTATTCTCGTTAACACTTGTTTCCGATGCTTTCTTTTTTTGTTCGTGGACAATTGTATGCTTTCATCAAATGTATATTTTTGTTTGAAGCCTATTTTTCAGTTCCATCCAACTAATTATGCAACCTATATACTCCTTAGACACTTTGTGATGTGTAAGACACCAATACATATTATGTCAATCATTGTATCTGTCATTACCCAATTGGCCAATATTTTTAACCATTTTTTCTATCTTAAATAACTTGCAGCAAAAACAGAAGATCTTATCCAAAGAAATTGAATGAACTAGCTATCTTCTATTAGTTGTCTGCCTATTTGCCATTAACTTCTTACATTTGTGATGATTCAAATTGTCTACCTAGACAATCTCTGGGAAACAAGATGTCATCAACTCTTTTTGGACCCATTTCAACTAAAAAGTTCCTTATCTATTGATCAATGTAAATATCCTTCCAGTTTTCAGGATCATTAAAATTCAAAGAAAATCAATTCTCTTAATTTAAATCTTCATGTTGAACATTATTTTCATCATCCTGTTTTGACTCATCCATATTTACAGGTTCAATCATTTCCTTATTCTCTTATTCATCTACATTATCATTATCATTATCATTCCGATTCTGTTGTTTCTCAATCGTTAAATTTTCTTGTGTTCCTTTATTTTCTTTTCTTTTCTTGCCATTGAAGTACTTATCCATATTTCCAGTTTGACTTCGAAATTAATGCCTCTATTCTTTCCTTCTTCTTCCTTTTTTGAGCTCCCAATGCATATTTAGGAGCCATGGTAATTGACTCAAGTCACATAACAGCAAACACTTATTGAAATTTGAGAGTAAAAGAGGCTCAAGTTAGATTAATTTAAGATTAAAATTTCAAAATTGATGACCCAATCACAATTAACAACTTATAATAAAAGTACTCAACTTAACATCAACCATAATTCACACTTTATCAATTCTAGAGTTTTAGTTGCTCACTTGATAACGAGAGAACCAAGCCAGAACATAAAAAATAAATACTAGAGAGCTAAATCCATTAAGTTGAGCTAATGAATCTATATTTCCGTCACCTAGCTGTTGACCTAATGGTTGACTTCTTGTTTTGATTATTACAAGCAAATTGTGTTTGATTCTAACAAATTGAAATTAAGTGATTGATAGTGATTATTGTAAATTTATGACATGAAAGATCGGAAATCATGCAACCTTGACGCAAAATGATATACACACAAGATTTTACGAACAAGGAAATGGAAAACGAGCTTTCACGCACCAAATTGCATTGGATAAAGAAATTGAAGACATTAGCTATAGATGCATTTGTATATTCAAGTGTAAATGTAAAACACTTTAATATTTCGCATCGATTATAGCTCAAACAATTTTTATGCACAGAAATTATCATGACAAGCTTTACTTGCATAAAAATCATTTTCAAAAGATAAGTAATTTGATTTTCACAATTAAACATTTATGAAATTACTTATCTATATGAAGTATATAAGAAAACTGTTCAAATACCTTAAAGGAATTTTTCACGAAAAAGGAAGTATATAAGAAAACTGTTCAAATACCTTAAAGGAATTTTTCACGAAAAAGGAAATTTTGATGGGAAAATAAAAGGCCCATCCGGACGTTCGGATAGGGTCTTCAATGGTCACATTTTTTAACTGTTTGGTAAACGGCTAGTTAATCGTTTGGATAACAAGCGAACGTCCAAATCACTTGTCCGAATCTCTTGATTGATGGCTATAAATACCCCTCTTTATACCTCTTTCAAAGTAAGCTTTTTACAACATTAAGAGAGTTATTTATTGATCTTGTCTACTTTGTTTTTCAATTTTTAAGAGATCAAAATATTTATTTGTTGAAAAACTTTTTGAGTGGGTAACTTTTTGAAAATTCATATATCTCAATAAAAGTTTTTCACACAACACTTGAACTATATTCTTTGTGATTTATTGAAGTGTTCGTGCCTAATTCTCTCTTAATATTTAGTTGTGTTCATACCATTTGTTAAGAGAGAAACCTTTCAATTGTAACTTTGATTTTCTTGTGGGTCGAGTTGAGGTCCCGAAAAGCTCAAGGTGTAAAAGGATCGGTGCTCCTTAATTACATGTCACCGGAAGCATTGTAAGGGTTGGATTGCTCCATAAGTCAATCAAAGATAGTGAAAAAGGACTTGTTCGTGACGGAGAGCTTGGTAACGGGGGACGTAAATCATGATTGGATCGAACCTCCTTATTACATTATTTGCACTCCCCTTTCCCTTCCTCTTATTATTTTTGTGTTGTCTTATTTATTCATAGCTATTTGCTTAAATTTGCGTTTATTTTAGAAAAAGTTTCAAATAACCAATTCACCCCACTCTTGATTAGTTATTCTTGGGCTTTCAATTGGTATCAGTGCTTGGTACTCTTTTTTTTTCTACAATCTTGAGTTATGGCTAACCAAGTTTTTCAAAATAGTGAGGGGCACTCTACAACCCGGCCTCCTTTCTTTAATGGTACACATTATAACTATTGGAAGGCTAGGATGATGATTTATGTTCAATCTATTGATTACAATATTTGGGAAGTTATAGAATATGGTCCATATGCTCCTACTAAAACTATTAAAGTAGATGGTAAACCAGACCAAACGCTCCCCAAATCTAGAGAAGAATACGATGATGAAGATAAGAGAAAACTATCATTAAATGCCAAGGCTAAAAATCTACTTTATTGTGTACTTGATAGAAATGAATTTAATCAAATTAGTACATGTGATTCGGCATATGATATTTGGCATACTCTTGAAGTTACTCATGTTGGCACAAGTAAAGTTAAGGAAACAAAGATAAACATGCTAGTTAAAGAATTTGAAAATTTCTTTATGAAACAAAATGAGCCTATTGTTAACATGATTACTCATTTTACCGATATTATAAATGGTCTTAAAGGTTTTGATCATAAATTTACTAACAGTGAACATATGAGTAAAATGCTTAGGTCCTTATTAGAGGAATGGAATCCATTGAGGATGTTGATTGGAATACTAAGGATGTAAATACATATCCTTTGGAGGAGCTCTACGGCACATTAATGATCCATGAGCTAAACAATGCCAAGGCTAAGAAGAAAACGAGAAAAAGCAGGGAGGAATCAAAGGAGCCTCCTAAAAGACAAATTGCGTTAAAATCGGCAATTGAAGAAGGAACATCAAATGAAAATATGAGAGATGAAGAAATTGATGATTTGGTTCTTCTTGTCAAAAAATGGAGAGGTTTTCGTAATAATCAAAGATTCCAAAAGAAAGAAGAAAAAGTGGAAGATAGGAACAAAAAGATTGTTTGCTATGATTGTGAAAAGCCGGGTCACAAGAGAACCGAGTGTCCAAACAAAAAGAAAAATTTCAAGAAAAAGGAACTCAAAGCCACATGAGATGATAACAACTACGAAATACGAAATGGGAATGATAATCAAGATGAAGTGGCAAATATGTGCTTCATGACAATCGAAGACAAGGTATGTTCCTATGATGAGCTTTCAATTTATTATGATGAAATGCTTGAAAATTTTGAAAAACTTGCTTTAAATCATGCTATTCTTAAAAAGAAAAACTTTATTTTGAATGAAGAAATTAAGAAAATCTCCGAAAAGCAAAAAGTGAGTTTTGATCATGACCTTTTGATAAAAGAAAACATCTCTTTAAAAGAAAAGGTTAATGATTTAACACAAATTATCCATAAGTTTACCGGAGGTAAGAAAAATTTTGATTTAATGCTCGGTAGTCAAAAGTATGTTTTTGATAAAGAAGGAATTGGATATAAACCCTCTCTAAAACAAAAATCACTCAAAAATATGTTTGTTAAGGTTTCAAATATTTCATGTAATTTTTGTAATAAAAATAGACATATTGCTTTTAGTTGTGTAACTAAAAAGAAATTATTCTTTGAGAACAAATACAAGTGGATATAAGAATT